CAATTAGACCAGTAGGTGTCAGTAACACAGCATCTGAACACATTTCAAAATAAAACATTTTCTCTGTAATTACAACAAATCCTGTTCAAAGAAATGTAATGTTCTGCGACAGCTACAGCTTATGTGACATGAATTGTGCCAATTCACAACACGACATGTCCCAATTTAAAAAAAAACAACATACTAACCCAGGGGTGGGCAACTTGTGGCCTGGGGGCCAAATGCGACCCCCATCAACCCTAAACGTGGCCCTCAGGTACATTTTTACATATCTATTTATTGGAAACATGAAGAAAACAAAATCTAACCCAAATAAAACACAGAAAATGTTTGTGATAATACAACATCATGATGATTGGAATAAACCTGGGTTTTATCATTCACTGTAAATTATCTGTGTTTAACTTCACTTTAAGGGTTTTGGATGAGATTTAAATTCAAAGTTTAAATGTAGAATATAATATAGAAACATTGAGTATAAGGTCTTAAGAAACATCTAAACAGATTTATCTTATATTATAAGTCTTACAATAATTCTACAAGTTTGTTTACCTTTAACTTGTGCAAGCTTTTGGGGGAAAGAAAATGCTGAATACATATATATGATATATATTCAGAGTTGTAATTAATCTGTGATATTATCAATGAACTGAATATAATCGAGAACATAAGGTAGGTGAAGAAGAGTTATGAGCATATGAAAGTTAATAAAATCAAGGCAAGGAAAATTTTAACTTGTAAATGTTTCCTTTTAATTTATGTTTAATCTAATATTAGCTCAATGAGCTGTAAGATGTACTCACATCAAATATTTTAATCATAATCAAAAAAGCAGTTTTAATCAAATTGATCATTTCAATTAAATCAATAAAAAGGTTTGTGGTATTTTCATTAAGAAAACCAAACGACAATAAATTCATCAAATTGATTAAAAAGTAAATTTGAAAAGTAAAATTAAACCTAAGAAGAAAAGGTTTAAGGTAAAAATGCAGCTTTGATATAAATAATTTACCAAACAATGATGTAAGACTCTAATTAAAAGGTATAGGTTGAAAATAAATGCATTATATCGTTTATAAATCACTTTATATGGAGAGGGCGCCCTCTGGTGGTTAGTTGTTGGTTACTGCACTTCAATAATAAATGAATCAGACTGCTGTTTCTTTGAGTAAATTAAACACAGAAGGCTGGATGAAGAGCTTTTACTTTTAGATTAAATAAATGAAGTCTATTCGTATACTTGAGCAAGATGAACATTTAATCTCTGAGCTCTGTGAACAGTAATGTTTAGAAAATCATTTTACCTCTGAGCTGCAGCACAGAGCGAGGAAACACCTGCACACACCTGTACAAACAAACACAAGAAGAAAATACAGAATTTTGCTATACAGAAGTAACTGCACTATTTATATTTTTCCACACATTTATGTGTTGGAAAAAAAGGTTAAAAAGAGGATACATTTCTGTTATAGTGACTGTTGGATGTAAATACAACCCATCGCCAGCAGAGGGCAGCAGTGTAATATGAATGCATGATGCAGCGGTTAATTAGACCTGACGAGGCTGTTAACCTCCAGGTGAGCTATATTGAAATATTCACAGTCCGTGGTTGTAAAGTGTAGAAGTTACATTACAGCCACAAAGAGTTAAAACCTTCAATATCACGTAGATCATTTGAAGAACAACAAAGCATTTAATTATTATGAAATATATACTTTAAAACACGCAGTGCTACTAAGCTGTGGAACGGAAGTGGGGAAAGATTGGATGTTAAATGAAACAGCAGAGTTTGGCTGCCGTCTAGTGGACATGATTAGTAACTACAGTCAAACTATGGAGTTTATGAGTTTGTTTAATTAAAGATAAAGATAAAAATAAACTTCATTGATCCCCTGTGGGGGAAATTTTGCATTACAGCAGCTCCAGAAAACAGGGGACGAGGAATATACTTATAAAAAAAAAAATAGAAGTTAAAAAACAGATCAAATAAATTTACATCATTTAAATAAAAATAAAAAATACAATAATGTAAAAAAATACAATAATGTAAATGTAAAATTACACAGTAACTTGTTATTAACTAAAAACACACACAGTGTGTAGCATGAGGTGGTGATGTTGTTAAAGAGTCTGATTAAACAGTCTGACGGCAGATGGGATGAACGACTTGCGGTAGTGCTCTGTCTTGCAGGGTGGGTGTCTGAGTCTGCTGCTGAAGGAGCTGCTCAGGGCCCCCACAGTGTCATGTAGAGGGTGAGAGGGGTTGTCCATGATGGATGTCAGCTTCACTAACATCCTCCTCTCACCCACCTCCTCTACAGAGTCCAGAGGACAGTCCAAGACAGAACTGGCCCTCCTCACCAGTCTGTTCAGTCTCTTCCTGTCTCTCTCTGTGCTCCCTCCTCCCAGCAGACCACTGCATAGAAAAGTGCAGACGCCCACCACAGTGTCATAAAAAGTTCTTAACAGAGTCCTGCACACTCCAAAGGACCTCAGTCGCCTCAGCAGGTGAAGTCAACTTTGGCCCTTCTTGTACAGGATGTGTGTGTTGTGTGACCAGTCCAGTTTGTTGTTGAGGTGAACACCCAGGTATTTGTACGTCTCCACCCTCTCGATGTCCAAGCCCTGGATGTTCACCGGTGCAGTCTGGGGTGACTTCCTGTGGAAGTCAATCACCATCTCCTTTGTCTTGCTGGCGTTGAGCTGAAGGTGGTTGAGCTCACTCCAGTTGACAAAGTCCATGATGACCTGCCTGTACTCCTGTTCGCTCCCCTTAGACACACCCCACGATGGCTGTGTCATCGGAGAACTTCTGCAAGTGGCAGCTCCAGAGTTGTAGCAGAAGTCCGAGGTGTACAGGTTATTACACGTGTAAGATGTGTATGATTATTTCCTGATGTTTGTTGCTGTTTTGTTGTTGTAGGCCATGTCCCTGCCTGTTGTTGTCATCTCTAACGTCTGTCAGCTGCCCAGCGGCTGGGCCTCCATCCTCTGGTACAACATGCTGACCTCCGAGCCCAGGGTACACAACCAGGACTCTCATTGATGATTACAGATGTTTACTTATCACAAATATCAAAGATACAATTAGGTGATATCTTAATGATTTAAACAAGTTTCACAGCTGCCACCTTAAATTCATAAACAGACCATTAATACAATCTAAATGTTGACGCGTGTATAGCTGTTTTACGGTTTGCATTTTCAGTATATTTTGATGCCTGTGCTTTTTATATGAAGTAAAGTTTTGAATAAAGGTCTTCTATTCGTAACAGAGTATCTTTAACTGTACTTTTAAACCAGATGGTTTGACTTTTTGTGTTTCCATCTCTTCTTCTTTCCTCTCCTCTCAGAATCTGAAGTTCTTCCTCAGCCCTCCGCAGGCCAAGTGGTCTCAGCTGTCCGAGGTCCTCAGCTGGCAGTTCTCCTCCGTCACCAAGCGAGGCCTGAACCAGGAGCAGCTCAACATGCTGGCTGACAAACTGCTCGGTAGAAATACTTTTCTTTAACAGATAAACACCTGCAGGACTTTCAAACAGGCCTTTAACTTTTATTTATTTTTATCTTCAGGAGCCAAAGCCAAGAGGAACCCAGAGGGACAAATCCCCTGGACCAAGTTGTGCAAGGTGAGCCCCATTCAGCCTGAGATTTAAGATCGTCAACATCTGTGATACTTTTCGATACCACAAGTTAAAAATGAATAAAATCTGTATTCAAATCTGTAATTTAACCAAAAGCTGCAATAAGAGAAACATGTACAGGTTAGCAGATACTAATGGAGTCTTTTTGGTGCATCATAAAGTTAAAACTACATCTTCTCTTTGAACTAAATGTATTTGTCTGTGAGCAGAGTGCGAACGAGAAAGCGTATTCCTTCTGGTTGTGGATCGAAGGAATCCTGGATGTGATTAAAAGACACCTGCTTTCCCTTTGGAATGACGGGTGAGTGCTGCCGTCTTTCTTCAGTGTCAAGACACTTTTCTGAGATGTCAGGAGTTTTTAAGGAGTTTTCTGCAAGTGTGAAACCCCTTTAGTCTGTCTTTTAAAGGGTCTGTCTAAGACAGACTAAGACAAAATAACCTGTCCTCTGATTGTAAGCAACACTCTCTTTTCTTTTTTTTCTTCTGAAGAAAGCAAATCAATTATTTTCTTCTTTCTGAGTGAAGACTTGGAGTGAGACCAAAACTGTCAACTGAGAAGTTTCTTCATTTCATCCAAGTCTTCTTTCTGTACTCTCTTTCAGTGTCTTTGTTTCATCAGTGGTTGAACTCTGATGATCATTTTATCTGCTCTTAGAGGTGTGGTAAAGACCCTCACTACTTTTAAGTTAGATACAGGTCAGTGCAGTAACCAGTCACCTTCTAGACACATTTCAGTGATTACATTCACTCTACTTGGAAGTCAAAGAATTTAGATTTTTGCACGATAATTACGAGGCAGAAAAGGCTTAAAAAGACGTGGATTCAAAGCAAAAACCCTTATCTGCCAGCTGTGTTTTATTTAGTTATAGTAGTTTACAGCTTTCATTGTCTGTTTTCTTTGATTTTGAGGAAACTTGTTTATTGTAGTCTTTATTTATCTACCACTAATAAGAAAATAAGAAAAATATATTGCCTAATATGTCATGGGAACACAATCTGCTTTCTTCCTCAGGAGTGAAACGCTCCAACGTACACAAGAATATGCAATCAGTGAAGTTGCACTTCAGATTCTTTGAGAGACTAACATGCACGTGTGATTAACAGACAATGGATTTTAATTAACATAAGCAGTAAACAGTTGCTTTTTATAATTAAGAAAATATGTTATCTGTGATTCAGTCAAGTCACATTTATTTATAAAGAAATAAAACAAAGAAAGCAGTTTGAATTTGTATCTAGAACAAGAAAGGTGAAAAAAACAAATGCAGTAATTGACAGTGACCACAGGAGGGCGCAGTTTCACCTTTAAACTCCATCTTTACACATTAGTATCTCAAACTAACTAATTATCTGCTTCTTGGACACTTTGGAGAACGACAGGGAGAGGAAGAGAGAAACTGGAGGTAAACATCATGAACACTGAATTTATCTGTGGGTAAGAATTCAGTCAGTGTCCTAAAGACCGGAAAACAGGTTAGCTTCGTCCTGCTAACGAATGCAGTTACCGGTAGTTACCATGGTGACCCGAGTTTGACTTTCTCATGTTGCTTGGTTACCAAGAGTTCAAAGTTAAAAAAAACAGAAAAACAAGTAAATTACATTAAGAAATATTTTTATCATTAAAACATTTGATTTTGACTTAGTCTTGTTTTGTGTCCTCTTATTTATAACTTTTTCATTTCTCCGATAGAAACTTTCTGCGACACTTCCGGTTGAAGCTTCCGGTAATCACGCCCAGGTGTGTTCAGGTGTTCTCAGGTGTGTATATCATTGTTTCGAGCAGGTAAGCGGTGCGGACCGCGGGCAGCATGTTGGAAGAAGAAGGAGCCGGGGAAGGAAACATGAAGTCTAGATACTCAGTGAGTAATTAAAAGTCCAGTTTTGTGTGAAAAGCCACGAAATAGAAATACCTGGGGCTGCTAACACCTGGGCTAATGCTCATGCTGACGTCATTACAAATGTTTGTTAAGCGGATAAAACGTCAGAGTAAGATGATGATAACGTTTATCAATATTATGAAGGTAACGCGACGTTTTCTTTGTCTTTTCAACTTGTTTTCTCCAATTAAACTTATAAAAACAGTTATCAATTAAAATGATAAAAAACAATTACAAGTTAAGGAGGTCGTCTCAAGTGCTCTCAGCCTGGATTTAAAGCATTCAAAGAAATCACCTCAGTTATTTTCCAACTAATTGTTTAACTTCACAACACCGGGTTAAAGTAAAGCCAAAGTTAATAAACTAATATGTAAATTAATTAATCAGAGGTAAAATGATTTTCTAAACATTACTGTTCACAGAGCTCAGAAATTAAATGTTCAGCTTGCCAAGTAATATGAATAACTTCATTTATTTAATTTAAAAAGTAAAAGCTTTCTGTTTAATTCAAACTCAAAGAAACAGCAGTCTGATTCATTTATTATTTAAGTGCAGTAACCACCAGAGGCGCCCTCTCCATATAAAGTGATTTATAAACTATAAAATGCATTTATTTTCAACCTATAACTTTAATTAGAGTTTGTGTTCTTGTGACAGTTAATGTATGGTAAAGATGTTTCTTAAGACCTTATACTCAATGTTTCTTTATTATATTCTACATTTAAAGTTTGCTTCATCCAAAACCCTTAAAGTGAAGTTAAACACAGATCATTTACAGTGAATGATAAAACCCAGGTTTATTCCAATCATCACAATGTTGTATAATCACAAACATTTCTGAGTTTTATTAACTTGATGAACTAAAATTAGTTTTTCTTCTCCAACAGGAACTCTGTTGACGTCTTCCAGGAGGATCCCCGTCGGTGGCCGTCTTCCTGCTCAGGTAGGAGACTCAAAGCTTTCTTAATTGTTTTATTATGTTCCAGGTTTTAGGTCTTATAGATGTTTAGACTCAGTTATTTTAATCATTTGACTTGATCCTTTTTATATTGGAGGAACATCAGGTGTTTAATGAAATACTACATTTTATAATCCTTATTTCATTAAACACCTGATGTTCCTCAAAAAGGATCAAATGATTAAAATAATTGAGTCTAAACTTTTATACGACCTAAACCTGGAACATAATTAAACATTAAGAACCCTTTGAGTCTCCTATCCAATGGGGATGCTGTGACACCCTTCTTGTGCTGATGTAACATGTAGAAAAACACAGGTCATGTCTGTTCAATATGTAATAAAACTACTGCTGTATCCATTCTGCATCAGTGACTTGTGTTACATCTGTGCTCTGGTCATCTGCCAGCTGTGTTTTATTTATAGTAGTTTACCACTTTCATTATTCCTGAGAAACTTGTTCTAGTAGTCTTTAATTATCTACAAATAAACATGTT